GCCAAAAGTTGCGTCTTATCATGCTTATCAAATGTTGATAATATAAAAAAATATCACCGTGCCGTTTTTGAATTATAAGCCCCTAAAGCAGTAATTAAAGGTGTTTTTAGGAGGTCATACTGTTGCTATGGTAACCTATTGTGCCACGGAAATGATAGGAACGTGTTCACCAATGATTGAGCAGTTTTTTGATACTATGATTATAGCATCAAGTGATAAAGAGTAGTTATAACGACCTATCCAAACATAAGTGGTTGAAACTCTTTAGAGCCACCTTAATATTGCGCTCCTTCCCAGAGCCTCCGCTTCTCTAGGTCACGTAGTCGGCAAAACGGGGTGAGCTACAAGACTCGTAACGCCCTCGTAACGACATTTTATAAAAACGAGTAGCACTGGGGATGAAAATGCTATCAAGTCATAGCACTCTTATTCCCATCTAAGGAAAAGAAAAAGGCCAAATTGGGTCTACTTTAGGAAAATATGAAAACGTCACGTCCTCCTTATGCTTGAGTCACTATAGGTTAGAGTAGTAGCGCAGAACCAAAGTGAATACGAATTTCTTTCTACACACTTCAGTGAAGTCTTCAGTTTTTCCACTCCAGTGAACAGTCAGAAATAGCAGACAACCTCGTTCCCAGGCTCTCTCTCCTCTGCCACCAACGACGGGAGGCAGACTAGAGAGACAAACAACAGACTGCAAGGCTGATACTACGTGAAAAACGTTTCGAGACACCAACATGACAAGAACCGAAAAAGTAGGATTGCAACAGTGGACAGCTGTTTCGCCCTTCTTGGGGCTCGTCAGCACTGTGTAGAAGATATGTAACGCCAGCCCAACAGCCAACGCACATAAATTGCAAAATGACCCGTTCACTGTATCAAGTTCCGTACTTTGAACTCACTTGCGCCCCGAACCACGTGTTGCCACATCACGTGTTTCGGGGCGCAAGGAGATTGGTCAAGATTGGTGTCTCGCAAAGCAATAGAATAAATGTGGCTGGACAACGCCAGCTTAAACATTTAAACATTCAACCCCATGGATCGAGGTTGAATAACAACTAGAGCAAAAGACCGGAAGTTTCGTCTGCAGTTTCCTGGAACCGTGACTCTCAATTATTCCGCGAACATATTCAAAGGAATCGGTGCTAGCACCTATAAAAGAGACCAGGCTTCTACGAATCGTTGAGGCATTTGGATATCAAGAATGGCTTCTAATACCCCAGAAGAACCGATTGCTAAAAGAACTCGCTTAGAAGAATCCGACGAAGAATCAAATACGTCGGTACGCTACAAAACAATTAAGCTCGACATGAACAAGTACGCTCGTTGGGTTGGACAACTCTCGCCAGAAGGTTTGGTGAACGTTTTTGAGATCGGTGTCAAAGTTAAAGAGTCCGCCATATTGACTGTGGACGTGAGCAAAAACGTTCTGGAAGACGCCTTTGCTTCACACATGCGACCGGTTCAAAACCTGAATGAGAGTATAGATGCATTGGGGAAAGCAATAAAAAGTCAAATTTCTGAGGGAATCAAAGAATGTAAAGATAAAATAGATAGGATATCCCAAAGTTTGTCGAAACCTGCGGTCAAAGGAGCTATGGGGGAATTGACTGTGGAAAACATCCTGAAAGATCGCTTTCGTCATTTCACCGTGAAGGACGTCGCCAGATCGGGCCAAAAGGGAAAGGGCGACTATGCCGTGGAAACAGCATCTGGCCACAAGATAATGATTGAAGTTAAAAACCGAGTGGATTCAGTTCCTCCGAAGGAGAGCCAGAAATTTGAGGAGGGCCTCGCAAAGTCTCCTGAGGTTAAAGTGGGAATTATGTTTTCGCTATGTAGTGGGATTTCCAACCATTCTCTAGATGGAGACTTCGAAGTAGCATTCGATCAAAGTAAAAACCAGTATCGGATATATGTGCCCAATGCAATGACAGATTCAGACGGAAACCGAGTCATCTGGAGTGTGCTCATGGCCGAGCAGCTGGCAGGAATAAACACAGAATTGACAGACAGCCAAGTACAGGGTCTGGAGCAGATCTGCGACCAATTTAAGAAGGACGTGGAGCACAGCAAGAGATGCGAGGATAGTCTGAAGAGTCTGGAAGTGGCTATGAACAAGTTGAAAGAAGAGCTCGTGCCCTTTCTCGAAACCGTAAAGAAAACACAGAAAAGCTTAAACGGACTGCTACACCAGTAGTTTATTTTGCCCTCACTCTAAACTGAAGTGAAGTTCCGCGTGGAAGTGTGAATTTGATCCAAGCCCGATAGCAGTTTGTTATCTACATGTAGTAGTGCATCAGTGCTTAATTTGTTTAAGGTCACTGTGAAAATATAATGTTTTATTCTCTTTGTTTATGCTACCTTATCCCGTCCAATGCTAATTAGAGGATAGATTTCTGTTCATTTTTGATTACTTGAGTGTGTTTACTACTAGACAAGAATCAAGCGAAACCATTTAAACCTTAAGTTGTGTCACAATTCCTCAACAAATCATTTGCATTGCAATATTATTGTGATTTTACTGCCAAGACTATACTAAGGACTGTGGTATTGTATTGCAGATTCAATTCATTTTATATAGTGCTTTTACCTTTTATGCATAGATTGTTTATATTTAGGTTTACAACAGGCCCCTCGAACAAGGTACTAACTTTGTACCTGAAGAGGGCACTCTTCTTTGCAGTTTGAGAGCTATTATCGTTTTTGTATATAGCTGTTTTTATTTGCTTGCTCAGTTAAAACCCGCTATTGACTAGCATCGTGAAGAAACTCATATTGGGCGTTTCCCCTTCTTCTTGAAAAATAGAGGGCTCCGAAAAACTATGATATGCCCCGTGATAAACAAACTAAGTACAGTTAATAAAGCGTGTGTCAATGTCCAAAAAATAAATTGCACATCATTCGAATGAGACAAAAAATACTACCTTTGCCATTAGACCGATGTTTCTACATAGTATTCCTTTAATGCAGATAATTTAATACGTCCATTCACATCCACATCCACATCCACATCACCACCACCGCCGCCGCCGCCGCCGCCACCACCACCACCACCACCATCATCATCGCTAAGGAGAGAAAACCTGATTCCTAGAATCAACGATAGGCAACAGCCAAAATCGGTAGCCATTATATAGCAGTGCATTAATCATGCAACCAGAAGCGTACAGTAGTCTCTTGGTTGTTCCCAGAATCAAGTGCAGTTGAATTCCGCGAAGTGTTCATGTAACGAAAACAGAATAAAAGACCAGATAATTGAAAAAAAGAATTAACCACAAAGAGAAATTTTCATAATACAAATGCCGTTTTTGAAAACGTAATCAAAGAGTTTCAGATTGCAAACGAAATCGTGGGTTGAATGGCAAAAGTTCCGAGAGATCTTTTAACGTGTACACCCCGCCATATTTGGTCAAGTAAGGGTTGTTTAATTTACAGTATTTATGCTCCAGTGAAACACAATATCCACAATCACATGATCATTTTTCTGATTCACTCCAGTTACGCCAAACAAAAGACCGGAAACTGAGAATGGCTGCGTCGCTTTCAGTTTCCAAGAAACCTGAATTCTAGATTATTCTGCGAACTTAGCTTGCCTTAGCTTAAACACGGAGCGATCCTATATAACGAGGCTGAGGTGTTCAGCCTGCCAATCATAAATCCCAGCGAACGACCAATGCTCCCATTTGATTGGCCTATTCTCTCGGGTCTAATTTTGGCGCGTTGCCACAAAATTCTGTGGAGCGATCGAGTGTAATTTTCTGTTTTATTTTACAAGTAAGTAAAATGCCTGACTGAACGATAGCTTCAGGAGAAGAGTTTGCAAAGAAAATTGACTTTTTTAATTTTGACTTCATAATTTTGTTCCTCCACTTGCGAAAGCCTATCGTATGAATTCGAGCTGTTCACTAAATTTATAAAATGCCGTGTCTAGTTCTTTGATGCCAGAGTGTCTATGCTCCTTCCAGGATTAACGCAGTTGCAAAATAAATTTGGAAACTAAAATTCTCCAAAAAAAAAAAACAGATACAAGCGGACTGCGAAGGTAATATATTATATCTATGGTAATATGGTTATTCTTCAGCCAGTTATCTAAAAGAGATTCCGTGAAGTGAATATTGGCTGCTGTTGTACTCTTGCTGCTAATAATCAGTCGACCTTTTACGAACGCAATTTTTGTTATCTGTTATGCGACCGTTATTTCGGCTATCCACCATTGCACAAAAAAGCCAACAAAGTGCTTCAAAGGTGGCGTGTCCTTGCCTTTTATAGGATCGCTTCATTGGAAAGACGTTAAAAAAAGCTCAGTCTTGAGTAGCGAAGATGGATTCCATCTGCGGTGAACCTAGTTTAAAAAGAGCACGATCGGAACACGTACGCCACATTAAACTTGATTTGGCTAAGTACGACAACTCCGTTCAATTCTCTTCTCTTCTCTTCTCTTCTCTTCTCTTCTCTTCTCTTCTCTTCTCTTCTCTTCTCTTCTCTTCTCTACTCTCTTCTGTTCTCTTCAACCCTGAGGCGAAGTACGGCATTTAGGCCAATCCTGTGTCTTCTTGTTAAAACAAAGGCTGTTGTTCGAGAAATATTTATTTACTGATTTCGCGCATACATATACAAGAGATCTACAAAGATCGAGGTAAGAACTTCAGATGTTACGAACTGTACAACAGCTTTTAACATGGAAGAACCCAGTGCCAAAAGGCCTCGTTCGGATCTAGAAGACCGCGGCTCGCGTAAATTCATCTCACTAGACTTGGAAAAATACGGCGAGTGGGTTCGTAAACTCTCAGACGATCAACTTTTGAGCGTGTTTGAGCTTGGAGTTAAAGTGAGGGAAGCAGTTTTCTTCACCGTAGATGTTAACCGAGAGTTCATGG